AGTTATTATGTTAGTTATACTAAGTTTCCATTTATATCCTCAGAGCTAGGGCTCAGACCCTCCAAACCCATTGTGCAGACTTGGTCACCAGACCCCTCACACGCAGGTCCATACTAGATAATTGGGAAAGATTCCAGGAGCTGTTGGCAGATGACACGAGCTCAGTCCTCAGCTTCCTCAGTGGCAGCAGTTTACAGGTCTGGTAGCTTACAGGTCCGGCAGTGGCCTTGTAGAGGGTCCTGGGGCACTAGCAGCTGCAGCCTTCAGCAGCAGAAGTAGTGGCCTCCCCATGCCCCCCCTCCCCCAAGGTGGGGAGCATCCCGGGAATGGGAAGCACCGTAGATCAGAGCCACTCATCCTTATACTTAAGTCCATAACCCAGGATACCTGGGTGCACATGTGCAATTACACTAGACGATAACCAAGGAACACCCGAGCGCATATGCCTGTTTACATCAAATGCCGGGCAAGATTCTGAACATCTGAGGGGCCCTGATCATTTTTCCTATATTTTCCCAACAGTAATGCTGGGCAAGTTACTTAACATCTCTGGGTTTCAAAATTTGTCTTTTTAAAGAAAAAGACTAGAAACCCCAATAGTACTGTGTTGTTGTCAGAAAAGACATCTTCAGGAACGTATTTTAATATTCATGTAATATTTACATATTAATGCTTTTCAAATATAGCTGTTAACTCAAGTGTTTGAAGCACCCTTCCTATAAGTTTCACTGTTCTTAAATTACCCTCTTTTAAAATAAAAGGTATAATAAACAAAGGCAAACTTCAGCCCCACTCAGTCCAAACAGTTACAAAGTCTTATTCTTCTATTTTACATTGATTGACAAAACTATGCCAGGTGATAAAAATAAGAGCTGTAGAATAATGAGAAATAGAATCATATAGAATGTAAAAACGAAATTCAAACCTTTTTTAATAAGAAGAGAGCTGTCACTGTCACTCCCTACCCTTATCTGTCATATCTGAATAAGGGTTCTGTGCTCCTTGACCTTATTGAGCTATTTCTCTCCCTGCTTTAAACATAGGATAGAGTTTCTCCCATAACTCTTTCCCTGGGGAGTTTCAAACAGAGGCTTCTGTATAACAACATTTGCTTTCAATAGCAAATGGCTCCACAGGGAGAAGAATGAAGAGGGAGGCAACCTTCATGGAATATCAACAGGCTGTAAATTAAATGTAGCTTGTTGTCTTTGCTAAACTCCCAGCACAGATTTCCATTAGAACAGTTATAAATCCTTTCCTCCCACATCCCATCTCTGTATTCTAAACCATTCACTCTAACACTGAGAAAGCCTAGATTTGCATCAATCATTATTTTTTAAAAACTGTTCTCAGTTTAATGTAAGGTATTGCTATCACTGAAAAGGGTAAACACTAGAGATTTGCACATTGTCTGAATTGCTTATATCTGCCTATAGTTTTGTTGTTCTTTATGCTGTTTTCAAGTACATTTGGAGTTCAACGTAATATCAGCATTAATTACTAGAAAATGCCCACCATAAATCAATATTGTGAACCCCTGACAATTAAATATTAGTATACCAATATATGAGCCTGTCAGTGGTGTTTTGGCCTTTATAGTAAGATAATGGCAGTATAGACAGTAAATTAAGTAATTTTTAAAAAAATATAAAAGTACAACAATAGGAGTGTAGAGTGGACAGAATTATAGCCCAGAATAGTTTAGGGTAAAAATGATTTAAAAAACAAGCCTCCTTTCACCTTATAGTATTTTTTTTTCCTTTTTGTCTTTTTTTGTGACCGGTAACGGGATCACAACCCTCGGTGTTGCGCCTGCACTGTGACCGGCTAGGGTAAAAATGATTTAAAAAACAAGCCTCCTTTCACCTTATAGTATTTTTTTTTCCTTTTCGTCTTTTTTTGTGACCGGTAACGGGATCACAACCCTCGGTGTCGCGCCTGCACTGTGACCGGCAACAGTATCGCAACCCTCAGTGTCGCGCCTGCACCACGCTCAACCAGTGAGCAGACCGGTCTCTATATGGGATCCGAACCCTCGGCGGGAGCGCCACCGCATTCTACTGAGTGCGCCACCGGGCCGGCCCCACCTTATAGTATTTCTAAGAGCTCATTAATGTACTTGGAGGCAGGACCAGAGCCACTGGTGGGTGGGAAACAGTTCTAAAGAATCTGGTGAATTTGTTCTGTGGAGTTTCAGGACTGCTTTGCCTTCTCTCTGTGCTTTTGAAACTCATGGATTCATCCTATCTCTTCTCAGAAGTTGATTTTTGTCTTTTTTAAAGCTACGTCTGCATAAGGATCATTTTTAGGTGCTTGAAATTTATATGAAAGGACACGTTACTGCTCAGGTCCAAATTCAAATAACTGGCTTAAAATTTTTTATTTTTTAAATTTTTGCAGTAGGTTCTTTCTACTCCCTGGTTCAGAGTGATATTAGGTTACCTGTATACTGGCTTCATCAGCATGGGCTCTAAGTTAGCTGTTTAATTAGTGATAAACTTCTTTAGAACTAAATATCCAGGTAAATACAAACGGTGAAGATTTTAAAAAGAATGACGTTTGAAAATACATCAAACAGCCTCTCCTCCAGTGTCCTCAGAGAAAGAAAAAAAAAATCAGTAGGAAAGAAGAGAACTTTAAAAGGTGAGGTAACTTAAAAGCTACTACCTTTCAGGTTACTGGCAAGATGCTGTGCCCAATGTTTGGACTGTGTTCAGTTTGAGCCTAAAATGGGATTCACAGCATACCCTGTCAGAGCATACCTTGTGAAATGGTAGGGCAAACTAAAAGCAGGTACACTTCTAGAGAACTGGAAATAGTGCCTGGTTAAAGATGGCTGAGCAGCAGTCTTCTGTGGTAGTGGGATGCTCAGAAAGCACAGACTTGTTTTTTTTTTTTTTAAAGATGACCAGTAAGGGGATCTTAACCCTTGACTTGGTGTTGTCAGCACCATGCTCACCCAGTGAGCAAACTGGCCATCCCTATATGGAATCCGAACCTGTGGCCTTGGTGTTATCAGCACTGCACTCTCCCGAGTGAGCTACAGGCCAGCCCCCCAGACTTGGTTTTAATCACACATGAGATACCAGTGGAGATTCTCAGAAATACTTGGGGAATTTAGCAGAGGGCCGAGTTAATTTAGCAGATGGGGATAATGTGCTCTTAAAGACAGGGTATTGTAGTCAATGTGCCTCCTTTTGTACTTTCAAATGGGTGAAGCCTGGAGAAACTTGGGTTACATAAGGATACAAAAATCAATACAGGGCCGGCCCGGTGGCGCACTGGATAGTGCACCGCTTGGGAAGCGCGGCGGCGCT